ATGGCGCAGGAAATGACCAACCATTCTTCGACCAGAGTCGCCATACATCCAGGGAACACCCTCAAAGCGCAGCAAAAGTTACTTGAGAACTATTTCCACCAAAATAACTGGGATATAAACGACTTTGAATCCATTTACCCTGTCACCCCACTTCAAGAAGCCATGGTTGCGCAAATGATCTCTTCCAATTTCACGAAGTACTTCAATCACGATGTTCTAAAGCTGTCCCGCCAGATTGATATTCAAACCCTATGGAAGGCCTGGGATACAGTCATAGAGAATTTTCCTATTCTTCGGACTTCATTTATTGAAATAGATGATACAAGACTGGAAGGGCCTTTTTGCCAGGTTACTTACAGGCATTCGGGGGTAACTCGGGACGAGATCAATGTTGGTGGGGAGAACGAACTAATCGATTTGCTTGAACATATCAGGAAAAGAACCGTCAATGCAGGCGATCGAGCCAAAATGCTCCAGCTCACTCTTGCGAATACGGCTACAGATAAATACTTAGTCCTTTCCATTGCTCATGCTATCTACGATGGCTGGTCATTGAGTCTTTTACACGAGGAGGTGAGGAAAGCCTATTTCGGTGATCCCGGACCCCTAAGGCCGTACGATAAAGCTCTCGAAGAGATCCTAAACGCATCCGGCCATGAAACCCATACTTTCTGGGAAGATCTCCTTTCTGGTGCAAAGAGCATATCGTTTCCTCGGAAGCAGTGCCTGCAAACCCAATCAAACGAGAAGGTCCATCGTGAGGAACGCGTCAGCCGTATCCCGGCCAGCGCAGCTAGATCATTCAGTAAAAAGCATGGCATTACATTACAAACGCTCGGGCAGACGGTTTGGTCATTTGTACTTGCATCATACCTACATACTCTAGAAGTTATTTTCGGGTCCGTCTTATCAGGCCGGGACAGCGCAGAAACTGCCGACGCTCTTTTCCCCACCATGAATACTGTCGCAGTTCGTGTAATTCTCTATGGTACTCGAAGAGAGATGGTGCAGTATGTGCAAGAAATTTTTGCTGGTATTCGGCAGTATCAACATTTTCCACTCCGAAAAGCCCAAGCGTTGACAGGTTCCCCGAGGACAGCATTGTTTGATACACTTTTCATCTACCAGAAACGCCCGGAAAGCACTGGAAAGAGTACCGAAATCCTGTACGAGTCAATAGGCGGTGTCTCTGATGTCGAATATCCGGTCTGCGTAGAAATGGAGAACATCGAGGATGAATTAATCTGGCGATGTGCTTGTAAAGATGATGTTTTTAGCTGCGATGATACGAAAGAGCTGTTAGACAGACTGGATGTGGTACTCAAAAATATCCTGGACGATCCTGGTGCTGCGACTCTTGAAATTGGCTTAGATGGCACAAGCATTTGCGGCCTCCCCGCCTTCATAGACAATTGCCAAAGCGCTCCTGGGAAGGTTGATGAGAAAACCAATGGTTATATTGTAGGTCCTGCTTCGTCAACCTGGTCACCAATTGAAAGAGCCCTTCGTGAGGTACTTTCAACAGTATCTAAGGTCCCCGAGAGCCAAATCTCAAAGAATATCTCAATGTTCCACTTAGGCCTCGATTCAATAAGCGCAATTAAAGTATCCGCTCTCCTCAGAAAGCGGTCAGTTAAACTTAGTGTAAGCGAAATGCTCCGAGCCGCTACTATTGAAACGATGGCACAGATTATCGATGAACGTAACTCCAGGACCAAGAAATTCGAGGTGGACCCTCATATAATCCTTTCAGAGGCATTGCAGGAAGTTGATCAGACCAAGGTCATCTCACATGCCGGAATTTCTCCCGATCATGTCGAGAAGATACTACCGGCAAACTCCGGACAAGTTTACATGCTCTCTACATGGGAGAAGACACAAGGTGCTTTATTCTATCCAGAGTTCAAGTATCATATGGCTGGTTCAGAAAGTGGCGATTCTCTTCATAAATCCTGGAGGGCTCTCGTTACCCAAAATTCAATACTCCGAACATGTTTTCTCAGTACTGGGAATCGGAAAGTTCCGTTTATCCAAACTGTACTTCGGGAAGCGAATGAATCATTCCATGATATCACAGGAAATGACCAAAACAGTGTGCGAAATTATATTCAGCAACACTCTCAACGCCAACCTTTCGCTTCTCTATTCGTACAAAAATTAAAAGAAGGCTGGCTCTTGATTTTAAAGATACATCACGCCCTTTATGATGGGGTAAGTCTTCCACAATTGGTCCATCACTTCCAGGATCTCTGCACAAACTCCAGAACATCGCCTGCGCGGGCCTCAGCCTTCATTAGCTTGCTTTCCATGAACATGGGAGAAAGCCGAGTGAAACGAAAGGCTTTCTGGACTTCGTATCTGCAAGGGATTTCTGGTAGAAATTTGACTCAGCCAGACGGCGCCAACCATCCACGAGTGGAGCATTTCCAACCAAATGTACTCCCGGACATTAAAGATCTGGATGAGCTGGGAAGGAGGAATGGTGTCAGCATTCAGTCATTCTTTTTCGCTGCCTACGCTCGACTCTATACAGCCCTAATTTCCGAATCCGTAGCTAAGTTCCAAAATTCGGGGTCTGACGATGTCATCATCGGCATCTACCTTGCCAACCGGTCTCATGCAATCGAAGGGCTTTCTGAAGCTGCAGCACCCACCGTAAATCTAGTTCCGTTACGAGTAAAGGCACCTCTAAGAAGCACCCTGTTAGAATCCGCGATACGCATTCAGAGCGATTTACAGGTCATCGGTAGCGTGGAAAACTCATCGGTCGGCTTATGGGAAATTGCAGACTGGACCGGCGTAAAGGTGGACACATTTGTCAATTTCTTGAAGCTTCCCGAAGGAGATGACGGGAGCACCGGTGGAATTGAAATTCGAGAAGTGTGTACGGACTTAACCGAGTCATGGAGTCGAATTGTTGAACCACCCGCGGAGGATTTTGTGGAATTGCATGAGTTGAAGGAGAATACAGTGAATGACGCCTACTTGGTAAGTCCGAAATAAAGAGGTTGATAGAGTTAGGTGCTGATTCTACTGGCTATAGAATACGATTGACATTGAGGCTACGGCCAAGGATGGATCCTTGAACGTGGGTGTTTTCTGTCCGATGAGCATGCTGAGCTTACAGGATGCGGAGAAACTGGTGGTCGATTTACGAAAGGAGTTTATGGATATGTTCAACTGTTAAAAAACCAGAGTCGGTGTGGAGTGCATGCTGCTCAAGTAACCTTGTATTTAATGCTCCTGTTTTGCATATTGCTTTAGTTTCTTCGTTTGCGGTTCATACGGTCTATATGACCATAGAACGAAACATATAGTATCAGGTGCCAAAAGTAGATCAGGCCCCTTTAGTTTATTTTTTCAACTTCTAATAACACTCTATGAACATAGAGATGGAGTATTGAGTCTGGCGAAACACATATCCATTCGTGTCCTGTACACTGGTGATAGTACACTATCCAAAACGATTGTACGTAACGCTCTGTCCGTCCAACTTGCAATCCAACGTAATTTTACATGAATGATTTCAAGCTTTCAGTCGTGTGCCTTGTAAATCCTCCTTGGCGTCCTTGATAAGGAAGCTGCGCAATGATCAGCACCATGTCAATGCGATGTCTAAAGCAAAGCTTTGAAAAGGAGCGCTTACCTATACCACGCAATCGTCGGCCCAACCGTACCCAGATGCCACAAACTATGCGCATCAATCATGCCCCACCAGGGCGGGAAATCCAATAATTCCAGACTCATTGCCATGACTAGCCATGCAACAATTAAACCGGGCCACATCGCCCATGTCCTGTTTAGTTTTTTATACTGCATATAACTGAAGCCGCTCCACATCAAGTTCTGGACTATGCCTACAGCCACATTCGCCGCCATATTGTAGGTATAATCCCAGCTCCACAACGTCAAGTACATCACGTGCGCAGCGTAAAGCGACAGGCACAGGAACGTCCACACTCGCAGCACGCTTTGCTTCATCGGATCACGCCTGTCCAATCTGAATATCCTGATTGGTGTGTAGTATAGCCCGTACAGCACACTGGCGCCCGCGGCGAAATAGTCCAACTTCTCCGTCAGGGGGAAGTCGCGTGTGTGGAAGAGCATGCTAAAAATCCAGCTCGCCAGTCCAAAGTATCCAAAGACAAGGTAGTATTTACGGAGGGTGTAGGAAGCGGGAATGCTTTCACGTAGACGAGACATGCCATAGTCGTGTGCAAGGTAGTTGAAGAGGGAGAAGACGACAGAGAAAGGCTCCTGCATGCCCAGGAATCGGTAAAAAGGCCATTTACCGTGAAATTGGTAGACGGGATGCATGTAGGGAGGGTCGCGGGCTAGGCGTTTATCCGTTACGATATGCTGGCAGGTGTAGTCGCATTCTGAAGGGCAGTCCCATAGGAGGAGGCGGTGTTGGAGAGCTAGAGGTCATATTAGAGCGTTTGCCCATTAAAGCGAATGAGCCTTTACAAACGAATCGGAGTCGGGTCATTTTCGCAATTCGCTTCCTTGCAAACCTGCAGTGCGGGTGAGTGCGTGCTCCGTTCTTGAGGCGTCTTCTTGGACAGGACAGACTTACCTTTACACACTCACGAAATTCCGGCAGTCTGTCCCCGAGCGATGCCCGAGCAGTACCTACTAGCGAACAGACAGCAGTAGCAGCGACTAAATGCCATATTGAACGCGAACTAATCTTCATCTTTAACCGCTGGTCGTCCCCATGAGTTGTGTTCGTGCTTGTGCCTTCCGCAACGATCCTCCGCTCCGCAACTTCTTGGCACCGAATCTTGGCACCAAATT